ACAAAGACATTCTCCTGCTGCAGTACCACCAGTCTGTCGCCGCGCACGTGTAAATGCACAGGCAATTACGTCCCTGCAGCTTGCTGCGTGACTCCGCTGTATAATCGCAGAGGTGGATAGGAGCTCATCTTCTGTTCTCACCACAGAGATTCACTCCTTTTTTATCACAGGTACTGCTGGCGAACACAGACATACAGGCCTTGAGCGGTGACCAACCCCCCCCCCCCCCGCTTTTCCATTGCATGAGTAACACTTTCTATTTAAAAGGTTCTGGAGCCAAGTGATTAAAAACAAGGAGGAAACCACCATCCAGGAAGGGAGGGGAGGTGCTGTGGTACGCTGTGTGTATCCCTCACATCCTAAGACGGTATGGCCTTATTGTTTTCCGTGGTTACAGAGTACACGGCAATGCATTCACATACGCTGATAATAGCACTGTTTTCCTCAATCCTGCCTATCATCTTATTTATATTTCATGATCATTTTGCGAGTTGCTAAAGTTATTTATTTTACTGCTACAACATTAACAAAGAAGAAGGAAAAAATACAGCTCACAGCCTTTTAAAAACAGCACATATAAGCTGGAGAAGTATATTTTGTTAACATAATAAAAATGTGGACACATCAAAGTGAAATGGGATGAATATGGGACATTCACATCAGGCTATTGTGAGACTACATTGTTTCATCTGTCATTTTTCTCTCAATTTCCGAAAAATCTGAAAATGACAGATAATTTGAGTAAAGGGAAATGCTGAAAAGCAAGCCTACAAATCAGAAGTACACAAATCATTCTCTCTTATTTACTGGAAATTTTACACCTGATATTTCAGTCTTTAACAGCAATTTACCAGTACGACAATTTAAGAATATATCTTAACAATGTACAGCACATGACAGGATATTCTAGATCCTAAGTCATGTGGGATATTAATTTCCCTGTGAATTTCATTGTATAAATTCCAAAATATGCTGTTTATTATATATTGCCTTTGTTGTGCATTTTATGTAATTGTTGCTGCATACAAAATAATTTTGTGGGATCAATAAAATACATTAATTTCAGCATAACTTCCAATTATTGTTCATGCTTATTACATTTGAAGAATTTGTTTTACGAATTGAGAACGAGATCTCGGATTGTTTTTATATACCACACAAAGACTTTCTACACCGCAAGTATAAACAACTGAAATGTAGTATCACAATTATACTGTACCACTGTAAATCAGCGACATTATTTTAAGGCTGTATTCACTATCCATGTTTTATTTCCTTTAAACAAACTATGTACTATCAAAGGATCCTAACCTCTGGGCGAAATATTACTGCTTGGGGTCCCAAGAGGAATCCCACTAATGCATCTCTTTAGCGTGGTAATTGACCTGGTAATTTAAAAAAAACAAATGCAATATAGAGAGGTAAAGTGTGAAATCTACCCTATATAAATGACCTGCCAGAAAGCTTCTCCTCCCCTCTGTCTGAACATGGCCGCTCAGCCAGGCATGCGGGGATCTTGTTGCCGCAATACGGGCACCCAGAGCATAAAGAGAAAATGGACGTGAAAAAGAAACGCCGTCCACGAGGTCTTTGTGCTTGTGGGTAGTGCATGGAAACACTGAGGGCTGTAGGAGAGGTCTCCGTGCCTTAAAGTCGTTTTTAAAAACTGAGCCTTTATGTTGTTAGATGTGGAGAAAAAAATCTGCAGAATGATGGGTGAAGGGGCCATCTTCTGAAAAATAATGATTTTATACCGTGTTTTGAATTTAAAGAAAAGAAAACAGCTATCTAAATCACTATCCTCTCAATATTATTAGTACCTGCTTTGCATTATCTGCTGGGCAAATCGGTAATTCGTGCTGCAGTCCATGCCGCACGCTAGCGAATCTTTTGTGTCTCGACTGCGCAACCTGTGAAGACGAGAAGCCTGTTTTGGAACTGATGCTCAGCAAAGGGTTGCCCTGAGACAGCATGCAAGCGTGAGGGGTGGGGGGGGCAAAGGGCCTCGCATGAAAAGAGGATGGCTTGGGTCGTCTACTCTGTAACACAAGCTCCAAGCCTGTAGTTCAGTCTCTAGCTCACGAAAACATGTCTCCAAGTAACTTGGATACCATTATGACATGCCTTAGTGACTGAAAGGTAGACACCATCAACTTCAAAGATAAGCACCTCTCAAATACTATCGCAGTAAAATTTCTTGGTCACCAGCAGAGGTCCAGAGGTCCTGCTTTAAAAACTAAATTAACAGAAACTAAACATTTAAATGTCTACACAGTTTAAATCCTGAAAAAAGCTAAAAGGCAGTAAGCAAACAAGAAAATCACTTCATGGTTGTTTGATTGAGTGAATTTATATGTTTACGACCTGCTTCTCTGCTCTTCATCAGATTCATTAGGAAAACTTAAACGCGGAAAATGCTAAATTAAAATAAGGCCATACAAAAATCTGAGCGGGACAGTAACTTTGAGAAAATGCAATTCGGCATAAAGCTTTGCCAATCAGAGGCTCCGGGGAGCAGAGGAGTCGATGAGCCGAGCCCACGCAGTTGCTGCATGACACGGCGCCGATTCTCACCCAGCAAACAGTCTTGACAGGAATCTGCGGTCAGGCCTATCATTGACTGGGGGATATCGATTTACACGGGGTGGGGGGACCCGTTTCACTACACTCCAGCAGTCGGCAAAGCATGCATGATTCTTTCATTTAATTTCTCTTTTTTTCTTTTTTTTTTTCAATTTACATTATTAAAGCAGAACAGAACAACACAACCTGATGTCACTAAGGCAGGCTATCTGTCCCAATGAGCTAGTGTGGGATTTTAAATATTTCAGAGACCAATCATGTTCATAACCACATTAAAACGCTAAAGTAACAGGAATGACATGCGACTGCAAAACATCAGTCTTACTATAAAATGGATTTACCAAGCTAATTAAGAGCTACCTTACTGGAAACACACCACTGATTTTTTTTTTGGAAAATGTTCCATTACACGTTTAAAAAGTATCCAGTGCAATTAAAACATTACTGGTTGAACAGTGAATCAGACAAAATAAACCGTGAAGATGTGAAAGCCAGAAAAAGTGTCCACACTAACACGATGTTACTGATCCTTTTGTAAAACACAATTGATAAAAGTGATCTGATATCCACTGTTTCACATGGTCTTTCCCTTTCAACTGAGATGCGAATATCAAATGTCAATCACACATACATGGTTATATTTTGTGGGTTTGATATTTAAATCAAGGTTGAGCATGAGGTAAAGCATGAGGTAAATTTATGTTTAATTCTGGTTTTGGTTTTTCGTAAACTTGCTGCAATTATGCAAAAAAATATCATCTGGCAACAACTATGTCACGTGCAAGTTTTTGTTAATTACTTGATAACGTGAGACCGATTGTGATTGGCGTGCCACTGGGGAATCCCACCCAGCGACTGTGACACACATTTCATCCTGTAATAAGTGCACTGCGCAGATACCTTTAATTTGACAACTGCAAACACTCCTCCAATCTGTCACCGCCATGTGACATTTATATTTCAATTTGCATGGGAAAGATGAATCACTGAGCTCTCAATTATCAGTAATTGTCTGATCTTCCAAACAGCTACTGGGGTTACGCCCACAATTTTTTGTCTTAATTATGCCAAAAGGCATAATGCTACTCTGTTCTTAAAATTTCCAGTGAAATTCAGAAATGCAGAAAATGTTACAGAGCGCATCCAGTCATCTCGCGACCTGGTGAAGTCAAAGTCTCTGGCTTCATAGTGGAATCATCGCAGAGGGCTTATACCCAACTGCTAGCCTGCAATGTATCCTGCAGTATCCCCACATAAGGCAGCTCAGGTCCATAACTGTACTGTATATATTATGGATGATTCTGAAAAGAGGCAGAGTCTCAGACAGTAACCACTTGCTACACTTCAGGCCAATACATCAGCTTCCTTCCACGTTAAAAAGACTAAGCGTGCAATTCAATACGTAACTTAATCAAACCACATGCCACAAACTGTACACTTAGGAATGAATAACATGCCTGAAACAATTACTGTTAACTTTAAATTTCTTCATAATTTGATGGATTTTTCTGGTCGAAATAAACAAAAATGTTCTTACTGTACCTGCAGAGCTAGACGTTTATTCTCAGTTGTCTTTCACTTTATTTTCACTTTATGAAGCTGGTATTACAGGCTGCCAAATTTTTAAAAGAACTGAATGAACTGTGCTACAAATTTTTATATGAAAACATGCTTAAAAGATATCATATATGGTAAAAAAGTGGATTTGTTTTTTCCTTAATTTCATGCAATTATTTTATTTACCCCTGTGTTAACTGTCAATATGTATATTGAAGCCTTTAAAATATGTCATAATTTTCAGTTGACATCTGCATTATACTAAAAAAAAACATTTACGCAGATGGTAGATTATGCAGTTTCCATCAAACTTGCTCTTTTATTTTATACTATTTTGTTTTACAAACTACAGACTGTTGCACCACTTAAAGAGAAGCATTCCAATGTACCTGTAATTTTATTGTAAATAAAGGACCATTTCGTTTTATTTCATTGTCATATACACCTAGATACGGCATTATCTTTCCTCTTTATGAAACTGCAATAACTTAAAAGCATTTCATACCTATTAATGTTGCTGAAGCAGATTTTTAAAACAAAAACACCAGTGCTCCTTTTATTTAAAAAAGCAGCATCACAAGGCCAATTAGCTTCTTTTCTGCATTCCAGTCTTTCCCGGTTCTAATTAACAAAGGCCTACTTACCTTAACGAGTCCTCGCTATCCCAGCAAGCTCAAGCCATAAAATAAAAGCACAATACTCCCTTCTCAAGTTACCGGGGGAGAAACACGGCACGAGGAAGCCCAATATTTTGGTGATGGCAGTGGGGGTGGGGCGGGGTATTTAAGAGCATAAGTATCCACCGTATCTGGGCTGGGGGGCTCCACTGGCGTTCCATGTCACCTCTCATGGGAACTTACTCGTCATATTTGATATGATAAATGACTTCCTCACTGTCCGCGCAGTCTGTGTGAGAGGTAGAAGGCCCGCAGTCTGAGTTCAACACGGCGTTGCCGCGACTGTCCATGGCCGAGCGGCGCTGGTCTATGCCCAGCTTGCCGTTAGTCCTTTTGCCGGGCTTCCCGCTCTTTCCCAGTGCTGGGGCCTGGCCATTCTGTCCCTTTGAGGCCCGGCTCACGTTCTCAATGCTGGCTTCGAACCAGGCACCGATGCTGATGTCTCTACAGTCCACCAGCTCGTTGATCTGCAAACCGGAAGAGAAGAACCACGTTACTTCACCCTCGTGTGACGCTGCACATGTGTGGTCATCTAGAGACGCCAAATGATAATTAAAGAGCCGTATTAGAACCAATTTATTTGTTCTGATGGTATTTCATGCACAAAATTTAAATATTCCCAGTACTGCAGCAATGTTACATCTGTGCTCTGTATTTTCCCTTGGAAAGTTGACCTGTTTACGAAAAGAAGAAACGGTAGCCCTTAAAAATTGCACCTTTGAAATCGGAGGACACCAAAGTTGTGACAAACTAGGCGGAATGGAAATGCAGGCTCCCGTTTGTAAAACAACGATCTACTATGAAAAATAGAGGCGCAGTGCAGTATTCATTTCTCTATGGACATATATGTCTGGCAGGAACATTGCCAAGACAACACAAATACGTCTGTCCTGGCTATGTACGGAAATGCAGGATACAGTACAGAGAACTTGCTAGAACAACATGTGCAGAATCACGAAATGCGAGAACGTGGTACGTTGGCTCAAAACACAAAACCACCTGTCGCTTGTTCTCAAACTGCTGACAGCCCCCCCAACTAGGCAAGCATTCATCTCCTCCTATTTACACTAAAACTGGAGAGAAATGCTGGATATGACGCCTGTCTACTGAGACACAGTGAGTGTAACACAGATTTCCGAATAACCAAAATACAAAACAAAACAAATTTAAGCATACAAGCATACAAGGGCATCAGGTAAGAGCCTAAAACTTGATAAAAGCTGAAGCCTGTCAGTTTCTTCACCCAGAAAGGACCCTGCTGTAGTGTCCTGCATTAAGATACTTAAAAAGCAAAAATAGTCAAACAAATAAACAGAAAAAATATGCATATATTGCATGTAACAGACAAATAAATACTCCATTCATCTTCTAAGAACTTATCCAAAACAGCTCTGTGGGATTCTGCTCCTGCTGTTACAGAAAACATACACGCAGTCATTTGCTACAGACATTTCAGAAGTGAAAGTTAGGGGTGGGCAATATGGACTTAAATATCTATGACGATATATCATGGTATTTTTGCGATAAAAATATCACCTTGAATATTGCTATTTGTCACTTTGGATTGCTGTTCTCAATAGCACCATACATTGGTGAACATTGTCAAGTTCACACAAATTATACATAAACAATATGCACTTTCAGCTTTAATTAACCAAACTTCAATTTAAATTTAAAAATAAACCCTTTGTTCCCAACCTGCATCACATCATTTGCTAAACAAATGGTTACGGCTTTGGCAATTTCACTAGACCGTCTGTGTTTTCTGTCATGCGGACTTCTGATTGTAAATGCTTCATCTATCCCAGGCTGCATCGATTATCCACATGATTTAGACCTGGAGATCAGCTGCTAGGCTCTTTATTACACGCCTGACTTTCATCAAGCTCAACCAGATGAACGGGTTCATTGATTTGCCACCTTTTGCAGTTGTACTTTCTTGCATGGTTTACAAATGCTTATCATTTGATGTAGGTCTGATGTCTTCTAACCAGACTTTCATGCAGTGGAAGTTGCTGGAACCATGTGATCTTCAGAAACTGGCATGCTACTTGCACTTTTAGCCATGCCTCTTTCTGCTTTGCGTTATCGGAGTATGTGTCAACATCACGTCTCGCAAGAGTGATAGTGTTGGATTTCATATGCACAACGAAACGTTACAAGCATAGATCTCAACTGAGGGACTGTGTTGACGGTGCGTTGCAATATGATTAATATCATTATATGACTTTTTTTTTTATCATGTTAAACGTTACACTGGTATTATCATGGATGGATATGACAAGCCACACCCAATATCATAGGAGAGTGTTGTTGGGGACACAACTTAATAATATAAAGGTCTCTTTATAAGGGGGGGAGAATAAAGCCAAATTAAATATTGGGGGTCACACGACCCCCATCCTCCCCGGTTCCTATAGCCCTGGGCACACTCCTACTGCCAACTAACTGAACTATATGTCTTTGAACTGTGGGAGAAAATGAAGGAGCTCAGAAGAAACCTGCATGAGACTAGGACACCCCCACACACCAGGATTTTAACTCCTAACCACAGAAGTGCGAGGCAAGGGAATTCTACCCACAAATCAATTACAATAAAACTGCTAATAGCACATAAGAAATTTTTAAATACCTGCCTGGTAGATGTTTTAATAGATCATGTTAACTCATCATAAAAACTATACACATGGTTGTGGCAGAAAGCACTAGGCCCCGGGAATGTGGCTGGTAGTGTAACAAAAGCAATGTAACCATAACCACCAAACACACTGCGGTTGCAATAGTGTGAGAACAATCATTCCGGGGTCATCTCGCTGTGGACAGGACAAGAGTAACACCTTGTACCATATGCTAAATCAGAGATGACCATTCAAGGGTTAGGTCACGCTGTCGGCCAAAACCACAGCCAGAGAAACCTATTTGCTTAGACATTTGTTTTCGTAACGTGTTATTTACTTCAAATGTAATGTGAAAGGAATGAATGCTTCCTGAATGGGAGACCGGTTTGTTGACATAACAGTCTGCTCCCGTGTCTGAGTACCTTATGAGCTCCCACTCTGACTAGGCCAAGCATTCACTGTTTTCTCACTGTTTTCAATTAAAACCGGAATTTAAATATGAGTACAAGTGCCAAAGGGCATTCATCTTTAAGTTTAATGTGAAGTCATTAAATATTATGTATGCTTAAACCCTAAAGTTTATTTTTGGCATAGCACGCGTTTAATAAAATATATTTTATCAAGTAGGCCTCTTCTGTGGGTCGTCTGCACACACAAGCAGTCTTCAGATGTTCTGCGATGGTTGTGGAAATCAGGCCGGTTCCTCGCAGTTCCTTGCACGGATGACTGCTCTGCTCGCTACGCCCCAGGTTCCTACACCAAAGCCAAGGCTGTACGTACCTTGCTTTCAAAATGTCTCCTTGACTAGCCGCGGGCAACCCTCCCTCACCACACAACCGAACACTTTGTGCTTTGTTTGGAAGCCCTTAGCTTGACTACACCTATCTATAAATTCCAGCATTTGAAATATAACATCATAAGTATATGCCATTGTATTCAACTATTTATTTAATGACATTTCCCCTTTTTTTGGGGGGGGGGGGGGATCAGTTTCTATGAATAATTTTGGAATCATTTACAGAAAATTAACTTCCTTTGAACAAAATATCACATCACTGGTAATCGGCTACTTCAGTCGAGTGTAACAAAATTTGGGCTTGATCACACTATGTAATTTCAGGAGAACCTTAGCAGAGCTTCTGCTGGCCTTTCTGTTATGCTCATACAGGGGTGTGGGCTTTGCTTAGAGCAGGAGTGGGGAACCTGATCCATGGAGGGTCAGTGTGGGCGCGGGTTTTTGGGATGGCCTCTCAATGCACCCACACCGGCCCTCCATGGAGCAGCTTCCCCACCCCAGGCTTAGAGCTACTACATGAATTACTTCAAGAAACTGACAAATATATAAAATTATTACTGTACATTTACAGTGTCACCTTTGCAATGTGCTGGCAATGTGCATTTACATTTTATTTATCAGATGTTTTTACCTAAAGTGACACACTTTTGAGAGAACAGGATCAGTTAATCTCTGGAGTAGCTGCAGTTGAGCATCTAGCTCAAGGGCCCAATGGTGAAATCACTCTACTGACTACTGACCACCAGCAAACTTCACAGTACAGGCACTGCGCCCACCATTATGGCAGATAATTAAAACAGCTAAGTAATAATACTGTGCTACATTTGTCACTGGTTAAATAGTGCTGCAGGGATCAATTCTGGGACCAGTCCTGTTCTCCCTCTATATGCTGCCAATGTTGGGCAAACCACGCAACACGACACACGAGTCATGACTAAATATGTTAGCTGTTGATTAGCAAGACCCAGTGTCACAATAAGACCTTTCAAGCTATGCACATCCTTTATTTTTTGGTGGCTAATCAAATGCCATATTATTGATACGCGGAGCATTTCTGAAGAGCATTAACATTTTTTATCTGGACGTAATGGGCAGCCACAAAATTCAACAATTATGCTTCCTATGCTATTTCAGTCTTGAACATTTAATGGTGTGAGAAAGATCTCTTTGCAAAATTGTTTTGTAAGCTGTGGCATTCAAGAACTTAAATTAGTATCCATTTTGAACTCACATTTCCATTAAACCCGAAAATGTAACGACTGAACAGCTGCATACAAATCTGGAATCAATCTGCCTGCTACCATCAGACAGGTATGCAAGTCATATTGGTTATTTTGAAGAAGTTACCACCTTCATAGTGAACAAAAAAAATCCAGAAATGCACAGGACACATTACGATCAATTTAAGGTTCAACATATATTTTTGGGTCAGTATTAATACATGCTGGACAGCAAAACAAGCAGAGTACAGCATTTAATGAAATTAGTATTTTAAAAGATAAGTAGTTCTAATAAAGAAAACTATCAATCATTTTCCAGCAAGGTTGTAGAAAATTTGTCCTTCAGATGTACAGTATCTGGATGGGAAGAAAAAAAACCCGCAACAACCAGGATTTAATAAGTAAATTATTTCTCCCTGTTGGGCAGCAGCGTCACTACAAATAGCAAAGCTATTAGTTTACATATTCCAGTAATCAGGGCGTAGTGTCGCTACTTTCAAAACTGCATGAGTAGCTCTTATATAGTGAAATTGTCTATTCAGTGAAGTAGCAGGGTAGCTCAGACAAGCGTTACATTGTTAAATCTCCCCAGAATGACCCGTAGTTCAATTTAAAGCAATTTCCTATGGGATAACAAAAGTATTCTGAATCGGAATATTTAATCACGTACGTTGTGCTAGTGCTTGTTCAAATGTAGGTTTTCGCACAATTACTATCTAATGTCACACCCATGATATGCTCAAAACCAAGCCCCACTCACAATTAATGCATCATGTCTAAGGAAGCTACAGCAATACTGTGACCAGGCCTCAATAAAATAATGAAATTATCAA